TGCCATTTGCCCCCTCTTCCCCCCCCTCCCCGGTGTGTTGCCCTCTGTGCTGTATTCTCTCTACTTCATTCTTTCTGTCCTTTCCCCTCCCGCCTTGTGCCCATCCTCCTCTCCCCCTCCACTCTCCCCCAATCTTACAGAGCAGAGGTTTCAGTGCTCCCACTGCTCCAAGAGGTTCGCTACCGAGCGGCTGCTGCGTGATCACATGAGGAACCACGGTGAGTAAAGGCCCGTGTCTCTCTTCCAGACGTCGCTCTGACACATGCGTTCCCTCGCCCTGCTCCATGGTGATGGGCTCCCCTCTCGTTTCTCTCGAGCAGTAAACCACTACAAGTGCCCCTTGTGTGACATGACCTGCCCACTGCCCTCTTCCTTGCGCAACCACATCCGCTTCCGGCACAGCGAGGAGCGGCCCTTCAAGTGCGACTACTGTGACTACAGGTGGGGTCCCTGTGGTTGTGCTTCCCGAGGGATCGCGTGAGTCTGAAGTTCTGTGGGGAAGCAGGGCTGTCGGGCTGGGAGTGGGGGAGAAGCTGAGGAGGAGACTAGGATGGGGGGGTCTCACGCACCTTTGGCTTCATTCCCACCTTCTTTCCTTCCAGCTGTAAAAATCTTATTGACTTGAGGAAGCACCTAGACACTCACAGCAAAGAGCCGGCCTATCGCTGCGAGTTCGAGGCCTGCAGCTTCACGGCACGCTCCCTCTGCTCCATCAAGCTGCACTACAGGAAAGTCCATGAGGTGGGGAGGCCGAGAGGGTCTGCTGCAGTGTTCACTGTTTGTCTGGCAGTAATGTTGAGAAGGCCCAAGTGTGCTTGTGGCCCACTGTGCTGGGTGCCCCCCCCCCACAGAGAGTAAGAGATGAACCTTTCACTGGAGAGCTTGCAATCTGAATAAAGATCAAGAGTGAGAGGAAGGAAATACAACCCTCCCTGCTAGCCCGAAGGGGGAGCGAGGCCCAGAGAGACCAAGTCACTTCTCCTAGGTCTTACAGGGAGCCTGGCAGAGAAGCCAGGAGATCGGGAAATTGAATCCAAATCTCTTGCCTTCCTCAAGACCATTCCTCCTCCCCAACCTGCTCTAGTCCTCTTGGTCAGTGTTTCTCAACCAGTGGTATGAGTCCCCTTAGTGGTACTTGAGAGAAGTCCGGGGGGTACGTCGACACAACCGACATTTGCAGAAAACTGAATTTTTGTGTTAAGTTTCACAGCACTTTATTTTTTTTTGTACTTTTTACACCCAAACATTTAATCGCCCGCCCGGCTACGATTAAGTTGTTTAAACAAATGTGTTGCAACAGTAGAAAAAAAAATGTGTCTGAAAACTGTAGGTACATGAGGTACTTATAAATTATCATTATTATTATTATTATTGAAAAAGGGGTACTTTACAAAAAAAAAAAAAAGGTTGAGAAACACTGCTCTAGGTGACCATAAAACCCTGCTGGGACTCTCCACTTCCTTCTCCCACCGTAGATTTGGAACAATCCTTGGTCATGCTTGGTATCCATTCGTGCCAGGAGGAAGTTACTCCTGTGTCCTTTTCATTCCTCCCTCTACTTGTCGCAGTACTCATGGCTAACTGGGTTCTAATTCTAGGGTTATACAACACAAGCTATCTGAGAGGGTGGGATTGTCATGGCTTTCCTGTTGGCTGTCTAATGTCGTTCGATCTCTCTTCTCTGGCTCAGAACAGGGAGTTGGTCCCCCCTACCAATGCAGGTCTGTGGGTAGGAGGAGCAGCAGTTCTTAATTGTTGCCCATTTAGCCAAGATGTGCTGAACAGTAGGTGAGCCCTGGCAAGCACATATCCCTGCATAGAAGATGCAGAGAACAATATGGTGTGTTAACGTGCCCCTAGCACGTTGTCCGCCTTTTCCTGTGGCGATAAACGTTGGCTTGTGGAATCTGAGCAGGAGTTCTCCATTCTTGGGCTATGTCCACTAATCCAGCAATTGTGCTAACTTTATGAGCCTTCAGATTGTATTGCCTGGCTAATCCCTTAGGAGCAGCCAGTTTTTTGCTTGCCCCTGTTCTCAGTGTGTGTGTTCTGCTGATACTCCCTGGCATGGGGAACGGATTTTAATGCTTGTACATCTTCAGCCATGGGTATGGGTCCAGTATTTAACCCTGCCTCCGTGCGGAGACTGGACCAAGTGACCTGTTGAAGCCCCTTCCTGTTCAACATTTCTGTGATTCTGTGGCCACTTTGCAAAGAATTGCTGAACAACTAGCAGCGCAGGATTTCCTAGCATCTCCCATGGACTGGTTATGCCAGCCCTTCTGAAGTGTTACTAGTCTCCCCCCCGTCCCTTCCTTTGCCATTATGATGCTTGCTCTAAAACGTGTCGGCTATTTGTCCCTGCTGGAAAGCCAGGCTTCTCCCAAGGCAGCTTGGGTTTGAATCCCACAACGTTTGACTTTCTTCCTTTCTCCCCACACCCTCCCCAGGGGGACTCCGAACCCCGGTACAAGTGCCACATCTGTGACAAGTGCTTCACACGGGGGAACAACCTCACCGTGCACCTGAGGAAGAAACACCAGTTCAAGTGGCCGTCTGGCCATCCTCGCTTCAGGTACTGGGCCTTTGGCCCCTCCCGTTTGCACGGCTAACTACCTCTCTCGGGCCATAGAGGGCGCTAGGGGACTGCAACGCGGAGACGTCTGCGTTGCTCCTAGGGGCCTTATCAGTACCTGGACAGCAGCCTCCAGTGGCAGATCAGAGACTAGGCAGCTGGATCTGCTGGGATGCCTGTAGCATCCGATCTAGCTCTGCCACCAGCTAAGCCCTATCCTGTTTTGAGGATGCTGGATACGGTGCAATCTTCCCCCAGACATTCCTGGGCATAAAAGGATGAGGAAGCAAAGGAGGCCTCTCAGATTTGCCCGTGGAAATTGGACAGGACAAAGCAATTGAACCTGGCCTGAGTGGATGTAAACCTCTGTTCAGCGTGTGGCTACTAAAGGATAAGCTGACCTTTAGGGGTTGGAGGGGAAAGGGTTTACCCTCCCTGACCACGCCTACCCCCCTGCACTGCTTGTTAACACCCCCCGTGCTGGCATGTCTGCCCCATAGGAGTATCAGTTCTGCAAAATAACCTCCTTGGGGTAGCATCCGCCACCGATAGCTTCCCAGCCTGGTTGCGTGCGCTGGCACGCTGGGCAGCACTCTGAGCTGCCCGTCCCCCCTCAGGACCTACACGAGGCATCTGCTTTGCAGCCCCGTTCTCACTGTCACCACCGCTCCCTCTCTCTGGCCTGCCTAGGTACAAGGAACACGAGGACGGCTACATGCGGCTGCAGCTAGTGCGCTATGAAAGCGTGGAGCTGACTGAGCAGCTGCTGAAGGACCGGGAGAAGCAGGGCGAATTGCTGGATGGCACGACGGAGTGCGTAGTGCTGACAGAGGGGGAGGGCAACTTGCAGGGGATCATCCTGGAGCCCCCGGCAGAGGCCTCCCTGGAGGAAGCCAATGACGCGGAGACAGAGGTGGCTCCGCTGCCGCCTCCCGTCTGTGCGGCTGCCAACCCTGACCCAGCTCTACAAAGCGCCTTCCCGAGAGCTGGGGCCCCGCCAGACGGAGAGGCCAGGGCCCCGCTCGGCCCCATCATCCGCGTGGTGAACAGGACCAACGAGCGCGGGGAGAACGAGACGGTCTACTACGTCATGGCCAACGCGCCCTCGGAGGAGCAGGCGGCAGCTCCCAGTGGGCTGGCCGTGGAGTCGGAGGAGAACGTCATGGACCGCCTACAGAAGACAGCTGAGGAGCTGGGGATACAGATTATGTGAGATGCTGGTGCTGCCTCCCTGCACTTTGGCTTTAGGAAATACCAATGTCTCGCCTGCTCGGGAGGGCGGGATGGACCCAGGAGCGCTCTCCAGCACCCTGCCGGGGTCGCTCCACGTCCATTACAGAAACTCGTTGATTATAGACCCAGTGGGATTGGTGCTGCCTGCGGGAAGGTTCTGAGCACGTCCCTGCCTAGCCCCACCTGTCTCCCTTTGCCCTCTACTCTCCTGCCACTGCGCTGGGTGACCTGATAAGGGGAAGGAGCAAACCAGCTGCTGAGGGAAACTTGGCAGCACATGGTGGGAGAGAGGGACCCATCTCCCTTCCGCCAGCCTGGGAGGGGAAGGTGGCCGTGGATGCTGGGAGCAGACTTGGACTGGGAGGAAAATGAGGTATAGTCTCCCAGCACCAGCACCTTGTGACATCACTACCATCTATCCAGCCCATGGGGTGAGATTTGGGTTGTGTCTCCCTCCCGCTGGCCCGGGGGCCAAGCTCCTGCTGCTGGGAGGCTCAGTGCTCAGTCCCGGGCCTCGCTGAGAGCCCCCTGCTCAGGCAGAATCTCCACTTTGGAGTGGCGGGTGGATCAGCCTCCTCAGATCCTGTTTGGCCTTAAACAGGCTCATTCAGTCCAGGATCTTGTTGCCCTTGTGTGGACAAGAGGCCCGACCCAGTCTCGGCCGTGGGGGCAGTCTCCATGCTGAAGCTCGCTCAGACAGATCCCTTTTCAGTATTTGCATTGACACTGTCCCGTCACCATGTTGATCGGAGCAGGGGGCAGCCTCAGGGTCCACTTGTCCCTTTGCAGGTTGCTGCTTCTCCGTGCATTGGTGAGGCGCTTGTGAGAGCTTGGGGGGCTGTTCACAGCACTCAGGGACCTCTGTGCTGCCTTCGTCCTCCCCTCGGGTTCTTGCCCAGGGCTTCCCCCACATTGGGGTCTGGCCTCCTGGCTGTGCTAAGTTAAGTGCTTTTATAATAAACAAAAGTCCTGCCTGCCAGGCCAACTTGTGAGTGTGTGGTGTCTGCCAGGATCTTGTCCATGTGGTGCTCACGTGCCTTAGTGCTGGGCTGAGAATAAGGAGTTGGGGATTGAAATGTCCAGGAGAGAAGTGAAATTTGAGCTCTCGCTGCATCCCTGTGGCATGGCCGGTGACACACAGAGCCATCTTCGTGCAGCTGGCGTCCCTAAGCCCTGCGTAGGAGAGTCTGCTTTTGCTCTGTGCCTCCCGCAGCTTTCCATACACGTACGCACCCATGCCAGATTGGATAGAGCATCCCCGACTTTCTTCCCTGCGGATGGGCCACTCAGCCCCTCCCACTGACCCAGAGACCGTTACTTGCTTTAACAAAGGGCTCCTTGTCTACCTCGAAAGCAAAGGTCTTCTAAGGGACCAGGCTGCACTAGCTGTTGACCTCTTTCTGTTGTGGGAACCCAAGAGGCCTATGTTTGTAGGTGTGGGAGGCCATTCTGCAACCCTCGCAGTGTCCAAGTCCTCGTTAGCAATACTCTTCAGCCTGGTGTTGACCTGCTACGCTTGTTAGGAGGTTTCTCTTCTGGCTAACCTCCAGCTTGGGCAATTCGGCCATGTCTACACTGGCGGGTTATTGTGCAAGAACGGCTGTTCTTCCGCAGAGCGTCCACACCGCCCACCCGCTCTTGTGCAAGAAGATTTACAGTAAAGCGTGGTAGGAGAGGGCTTCTTGTGCAAGAGCTACACTCTTTTCTAACAGGTGTAAGCCCTTTTGCGCGAGAGCTCTTGCACAAGAAGGCAGTGTGGACGTGCAACGGGTTTCTTGCACAAGAAAGCCCTATGGCTACAATGGCCATCAGAGCTTTCTTGCACAAGAGAGCGTCCACACTGCCATGGATGCTCTTGTGCAAAAGCACAGCTTGCACATGGCAGTGTGGACATGTTCTTGCGCAAGAACCCTTGTGTAAGATGTCCTTGTGCAAGATGTCCTTGTGCAAGAAGCCCCCAGTGTAGACACAGCCCTCGGGTCTCCTGAGCCTCTAATTCTCCATGCCATTTCAGTGCAGGGCACGGTTCTCTTCTTCCTTTCCTCAAGCATTACATTGCAGAGTTGCATTGATCAGACTGTGCAGTGTGTCCTCCTATAGCTGGGTGCATTTCTGGGGCAGATGAAGCGAGGCCCGCTCGCAAAGTGTGCTTGTCCTTGGATGAAAGGCACTAGCCAAATGTCCTTTGTTAACGGGTTGGGGGCAGTTGTTAGCAGGTGCACTACAGATTGCTCATGTCGTACCTGGGTTGCTTGACGTACCTCACCCCGCCCTTCTGGGATGTGGCTGGGCAGTTCAGGTAAATGGGAAGGCCCGTCCCACTCTCAGCAGGGTAGACAGGCTCTGATGATGCTCTGCTCCCTTGGAAGTGCTGTGCTCTTTCTAATCCTGCAAGAACCTTCCCTGCTCCTGGTTGACCCCCTTCACAGAGCACCTGCTGATCTCCCCGGACAGCTGTAATCGCCTTAACCAGCGTATTATGGAGCTCATCTTACTGAGGAGCTGGAGGGTGCAGCAAACAGCCTCTGCCGGCTGCAATTGGGGCCATGGTAGGTCTCGGTTTGCGCTGGAACCTGCCTGGCTCTAGCAGCCCGCCTGGCAGGCTTCTTGGCAGCCCCGATCCCAGCTCTGAGACAGCCCGCTCGGCATGCTGCTGTGGAGCTGGGGCTCTGCTCGAGATAAGAACATAAGAATGGCCATACTGGGTCAGACCAAAGGTCCATCTAGCCCAGTATCCTGTCTGCCGACAGTGGCCAGCACCAGGTGCCCCCAGAGGGGGTGGACCAAAGACAATGATCAAGTGATTTGTCTCCTGCCATCCTTCTCCAGCCTCTGACAGAGGCCAGGGACACCAATTCTATCCCCTGGCTAATAGCCTTTTATGGCCCTACCCTCCATGACTTTATCTAGCTTCTCTTTAAACTCTATTATAGTCCTAGCCTTCACAGCCTCCTGTGGCAAGGAGTTCCACAGGTTGACTACGCGCTGTGTGAAGAAGAACTTTCTTTTATTAATTTTAAACCTGTTACCCATTAAGATCCTTGTGGTTTGTGGAGGATTTTGAAATACTGGGTTTTTGTTCTGAAATCTCAGAATCCTCCACAAAGCAGATTTACTTTTCTCTGACTGGCCTTCCCCCACGAAGGGGCCATCCAGGCACGCATCAACCCCACTTGGGTTAAACCTGGGCCAATCACCATGTGGGAACCGATTATTTCGGTGTAGGGGCATGTGTTGGTTTTGCTTAAACATGCTCTGAGTCGACTTCTGCTAAGATTCCAGAGGAATCTTGGTTTAAACCTTCCTAAGTGTCCACGTGACTTTTGGTGCTGGCCTCATGAACTGGTTTAAAACCACAGATTGAACTGATGTAACTCTGCCCTCGTGCTGAGAGCCAGGCTGAGTCGGGTGGTGGATGGGAGACTCCTAGGAAACAGCTGTGATGTTGGTTTTCATCCCACAAAGCAAGTGCCCCCACCAAAAGGCTCCTGGACTTATTAACACATCCCATGGGGCCGCAGTCAAAGTCCTGTTCAAGTGACTCCGTTTTACCCTTCCTGCAGATTCTGCTGGGTGCAGAATTTTTCTTCGCACCCCGTCTCCTCCCTCCCCCATCCTAAACAGAGCAAGGTGGCATTGTGCCCTGCTGCGCCTGTAGGGCTGCCGTGCTCGGTGGGGGAGCGGCCAAGTAGCTCTTGGGCTGCTGTTAGGGATTTGCCAGTGGCAATAATTTGGCCAGGATTCTTGCTGGCTCACGAGCGAGCCCTGAACTGAGGGAACGGGGGACTTGGCTTTGTGCAGCAGGCACACACAGGCCAGGCGTCTTGCTCTGCTTATGCCGCAGGAAAACCATGACGGTGTGTTGGCTCAATGGACCATCCTCCAGCAAGGCGCAGTGGGACTGCGGCCTCAGCAGTCGCTGTGGGGGGGTGACCCTTGACTTCCCCGTTCCCTGCCGACGTACCTCCGCCAGAGCAAAAGCCACTGAAGCTCCAGGTTGTTTCAGCGAAGCAGTCGTTTTACCGTAAACCCCCAGCCATCTGCTCACTTTCTAATTACAAACCCTGTAAGAACATAATTCACAGTTGTGTCCTGAAAGCCGGAGGGGCCCCAAGGACAGTGCCCAAGGGGATGCTCATTGAAGAAAGAAGCTCGCGCTGGTTTTTCAGCCATCTGATACTAAGGGTCTGTCCCCACTATGGAGATCATACCAGCATGGCCCTGTAATATGGACACAGTCACGCCAGGAGGCGTTTCATCAACAAAGCTTTGTCCACACTAGGGCTATGTCTGCACTCGCGGCTTCTTGCGTCAGTAATATGCAAATGAGGCTAAGCCGTTATTGCGCAATGCCGTTATTCCTGAAACTAATCAGCGGAGCGGCATTGCGCAAGAGGGTTTTTCTTGCGCAAGAAGGGGCAGTGTAGACAGCTCCTTCTGGTGCAAGAGCCTCTTCTGCAAAAATGGTGGCTCATTAGGTATGCAAATGAGGCTCCACGATATTCCACACTTAGCCTCATTTGCATATTTCTCGTGCAAGAAGCTGCGAGTGTAGATGTAGCCTGGGGTTTTGCTGGCATAGCTGTGGCTTGGTTTCTTTACACCCTGGCTGACATACCTATGCCAATGTCGGTTCTGAGTGTAGACCGGTTGAAGGGAAAATGGGGGAGGCGGGAAGGAAAGCGTCCATTGACAGAACGTTCCCACGTGGAGGCAGGCAGGTAAAACAACCCTAGGGAAGTAGTTCGGACAGTCGTGATCAAACTCCTTTAGTGGCTTGGAGGCCTGTGTCAAATGGGTTTCTTAATTCATTTCTGCACAGACAGAGGTTCACGTTGCGCGCACACCCCTTCACCACCGACGCTTCCCCTCTGCCGTGGGGACAAAGGCGTGAACGGACCCTGGAGACTCAGGCTAGGTCTACACTCCAGGGGTTTTGCGCGGAGTGTCCACACCTCAAGCGTGTTTTTGCACAAGTAAAACAAAAGAACAGAGGGGTTTTTGCGGTGTAGCTGTTCCTTTCTACGAGGAATAACTCCTTTTTGCACAAGAGTTCTTGCACATAGAGGCGTGTGTGGATGGGGACCGGGTATTCTGTGCAAAAAGAGGCAATCGAAAAAAGCCCAGGTGCCCTGGTGGCCATTCTGTAAATAGCAATCAGAGTTTCCTGTCGCGAGATCATCCATGCAGTCTGGACGCTCTCTTGCGCAAAAGGGCATCGCTTTTTCGATGTGCTTTTGCAGCGTGGATGCTCTCTTGCGCAAGACATTTCTGCGGAAGTTTTTGCTTCTGTAAAAAGCTTCTTGGGCAAGAAGCTGCAGTGTAGAGGCCTCAGTGCCCCACCCCAGAGGTGGAGTCAGTCACAAGGCTGTGGTGAAACACACCGCCAAAGAGAGTGGCAGACGCTTGCCTGCCTGTGCTGTACCAGAGGGGGGTGGCTGGAGGATTTCTGGGTGGCGGAGCTGCTTCTAAAGTCCCTTGAGTACAACCCAGCTGCGCCTTGTGGCTGTTGAGCAGGGAACAGGGCAGCTGTAGAGGTGCACTGTCTCATCTGGGCTGAGAGGGGAGGGAAGTGGTTGAGGATGCACCAAAGATGAAAGGCCGCTCAATGAATCCCGTTTTGTAGGCTGGCCGTGACCTGGCTCTGATCAGTTGTACCAAGGGTGTCTTGGCAGCGAGAGCTTTCCAGGCCACGGGGCCTTGTGGAACCAGATCTGTGCCAAGCGCTGCCCTGAATCGGGATGTCTCCAGCTCCTTTGCACTCCACTCAGGGCCACCCTTAACCATACGCAGCTGTGTAGGGCAGTGGTCCTCAGCGCGGTGCCCGTGGGCGCCATGGCGCCTGCCGGGCCATTTCTGTGCGCCCACCGAGTGATCGGGGCCGGCCCTGCCCCCGGGTGCACGGCACAGGGGCGGCACGAGCCCCAGGCATGCAGCACATGAGCAGCCTCGCCCCTGGGCGTGCGGTTCATGGGCTGTG